TAGAGTTTCAAACATTCTCCTGAAGTTATTTTTTAGGTATTTTCTTCTACTTCATCTATATTTGGTTGTTTTGGGGTCTTTAGGTTTTACTGGTGTGTTGCTCTTTATGGTGTTTTATGTGTTCTTACCTTTTCTACTCATCCTTTCCCTCAAGAGGTGTAGTTGGGGCTGTCTGAGATTCTGTTGATTAATCTTCTAGGTGCCAGTGAATCCAAAGCTCAGATGGTAGTTCCACATGGTACAGTCAGTGCCACAGTTCTAGTTACCCCATTGGTTATTTCTTTTTCCTGGAGATCACTCAGTGCTCCTGGGCTTTGCGCTGCTCCCTTGGAGTTTGCTGTCTGAGGTCTACTTTGGCTTAGGTTACTGGCCTTGACCCATTTCTGTAAATCCTGGTCTAAATTCCCTCCTGCAGATTTCCCTGACTTGGGGTTGGTCTTGCAAATGTCTCTGGCTCCAGTCAACTCCCTCAGAGTTCCCAGGCTTGGGTTTACCCAAACCCGCAGAGGACCTGGCTCAGGCTTACTCCCTCAGAGGTCCCAGACTCATGGAACCCACAGAGGTTCCATGTTCCTGATTATTCCCCTTGATGTCCCAGACCTATGCCTCAATCCACAGAGGTCCTGGCTCAGGCCTACTCCCTATGAGATCCCAGATTCATGCCTGGACCTTCAGAGATCTCTGGTTCCTGCCTACTCTTTCAGAGGTCCCAGATTCATGCCCAGACAGAGGTCCTGGCTCAGGTCTAGTTCCTTGAAGGTCCTAGACTCAAGCCCAGACCACAGGGGTCCTGGCTTAGGTCTATTCCCTTGAAGGTCCCAGATTCACATCTGAACCCTCAGTGGTCTCTGGCTCTGGCTTACTGGCTCAGCAGTTACTCCCCTGTACCTGTTTTGGTGGAGTTCACTGTCTCAGGTCTGCTCTGGACCAGGTCACTGGCTCAGTTCTGATCCACCAGTGTACTGGGACTGGATTGGTTCTCAGCTCCCACTCCCATGGAGCTTGCCTCACCTTTTCTTTTTCTATTTTTTTATTTTAAAAATAAATACTAGGCTGGCAAAATAATCAGCACCTAAATGTATCTGCCCCAATATTGACGACTTGAATTCTATTTCCTAGAGTCATATACAGAAAAGGAGAACTGACTACATCCTATGTTGTCCTCTAACTTCCACATGCACACCTTTGCATGTATGCCCCTTCCCCAAGCACATATATAGGAATGTTTACTAAATAAATACAAAATGTAACTAACTACACGGAAAGTAACTAAATGAATAATTTTTTTGAGACAGGGTTTCTATCTAACTAAATAATTTTTAGAACATACTAAAGGTCCCACCCAATGACTCTTTCCCCTGTATTTAAAGAAGAGTCTAAGCACTGGGCACACAGTCTTATGCAGTATATAAACTGGAAAGGGTTGTTTTCTTAAGCAATTTAGTATATAGATGCACAATACTCTGGAGAGGGGGCATTCTGTTGTTTTGGTTTGGTTATTTTAATCTACCTGAGAAGAAATCAACATGGCAAGCTTGAATAGAAGCAGTTTATCTATCAATAAGATGAGGAGAGTGTGTCAGTCCGATGGGACACAGCAACATGAGACTAGTGATCTAGTGATTAGAGCACACATACACTACACCCTTTGTAAGTGGAAGGCAAGAAGGAAGAGAGGTAGAGTAAGCTGTATATAACATTTAGTGTCATGGCAAAGAGTTCTGCCTCTGTTTTAGTTGTTCATGGCCCTACTTATTTCAGAAAGACAATTGTATTGACAGATAAGCATGGAATCTTACAATGTATTAATGACTAAGTTTAAAGCAGAGAAGATATAGGCTACATGAGGCAAACTGGTTCAGAGATGATGAGAAGATAGGAGAGCTGGGACATTCAAGAGGCATTTTAGTGATAATTGCCAAGAAACAATCCCAATGTGAAGAAGGTACATGGCTATTTATTATCAGGCTTTTAGATTATATCTATCTTAACTAAATCAGGTACACAAGAAAGTGTAGCACAAACAAGGAAGGATGCTGACGTGTTCCATATTAAAAAGGTATACTTTTCATTCTAGGATATGCAGATGGACTCATCAGGGAGAGAGTTGTGAACCTGGGTGAAGATGCTGAGTAGATAGGTACCATCTGCATTTATTAAGGCCACCACACTATATGCTATCATATATAGAGACAGAATTTTGAATAATCTCTGGATATATATAAAGCAGACTTGATAAATAGGAACTTAAAACTCCACGTTTGTATGCAAGGAACTCCATTACAGGAGCAGCTACTTTATTTGGTACTAAAATGGTGCTAGGGCCACACTTCTTTCCCAAATCACATCCTCCAGACTGATTAACTACTTTTGTTGTAATGTATTGTAATGTAAATGTTTTCTATGCACTGTAATGTAATCAAATACATTACAATGTAAATGTTTTCTAGTGCCACATCACTGAGCCAGACTCAGATGCTCCAGTGCATGTCATTCTAGAGATGAGGGATATAGCAGTGATCCAGAATTTGATATTGCTCCTCCAATCATGAAAACTAACAGAAAGAGTAGAACTCAGCATCTCCATTACCACTTAGCCCAAGATTTGTTCATAGCATTCAGCAACAAACACTGATGATCTCATGAAGGCCATAGTTTTTTGAACTGTTTTGAGATATTTATTAGCTACTCTTATTTTTTTTATAACTCTTTACCCACTTTTATTTGGGTTATTTGTTTTCTTGAATGTTTTTTTTTTATCTCTTTAGATACTCTAGATGCCAGACCTCTGTGAGATGTATAGTTGAAAAAGATTTTTTCCCACTCAAAGGGCTTCCTCTTGACTCAGTTGGTTGTTCCCCTCTTTGTTCTGAAGCCTTTTAGTTTATGAGGTACCACTTTTCAACTGGACTTAGTTCCTGAGGTCTTTTCCCACACCTATGTCATCTTGTATGGTATGGCCTATGTTTCCTTCCAGCAGTTTCAGTGTTTTAAGTTTCACACTGAGGTGTTTGATCCATTTGGAATTAATTTTTGCACAGGGTAAGAGATATTGGCCTAATTACATTCTTCTGTGTGTGACATTTAGTTTTCCTAGCACCATAATGAAGATGCTGTTTTTCCAATGTATGTATTTAGTGGCTTTGTCAAATGTTAGATGACTGAGGCCATGTGCATTGATGTTTGAGTCTTCTGTTCTGTTCTGCTGGTATACATGTCTGTTTTTATGCAAACATAATGTTGCTTTTATTGCTATAGCTCTGTAATATATCTTGAAATCTGGAATGGTAATCCCTTCAAAATTGTTCTTTTAGCTTACATCTGGCTTTGGCTGTACTTGGTCTTTTGTGGCTTCATATGAATTTTATGATTTTTTTCTACTTATATGAAGAATATTGTGGATATTTGATTTTAAATTTGATTTTAAAATTTGAATTACATTTAATTACCTGTCAATAACTTTTGGTAAGATTTTCAATTTAGCACAATTGATTCTACTAATACATGAAGAGCATGAGGATTTTTGTCTGTTCTTCAATGTCTTCCTTTACCTTTTCTTCAAAGATTCAATGTTTTTATTGCAGATGTCTTTCACCTCTTTGGTTAGGGATATTTTTGTGAGTGTGTATGTGTGTGTGTGTGTACGTACATGTGTGCATGCATGCATACATATTATTGTGAATGTGAGTGTTCCCATGATCTCTTTCTCAACATGTTTATTTTTTATATATAGAAAGACTACTGATTTTTGTAAGTTGATTTAGTGCTCTTCCAATTTGCTGATTTGTTAATCACATTTATAAGTTTTCTTGTGGATTTTTATATATCATCCTTGAAAGTCATAGAGTCCGTACAGCTAAGACAAGGTTTGAGAGTGGGATGTGGTGCAGGACTTACCAGGCTGAGTCTGTGCACAGGTGTATAACCTGGGCTATGCCTGGAGGCTGAATATCTTATAGGTAGACTGGGATCTGATGGACTCATCTGATGGGGTTGGCCTACAAAGTATTTGATGAGGGAAGCCCTGAGCCTTATGAATGATTGAGTAAGTTCGTTCATATTGGGATTATACACAGTGTTTATTCAGGTTAGATATAGAGATTGGAGGGGTTTCAAGTGGGCTAGGTCTCAGTAAACTTACCAGGCTGGACATGGGCATCGGTTGTGAGACTTGGGCAAGGACTAGAGGTTTGATTTGCCTCAGACAATTGAAATGGAGGATAAGGAGAGCAAAGTGAAAGTAGTCTATTTGAGTCTGTTCCATGTGTGGTGGCTACAGAGTCCCTGGTAGTATGTGGGATTGGAATCAAGCAATATCCTAAGAAAGAGAGAGAGTCACAGGGCAGGGCCCTATCCCTGGCAAGCAGCTGTGGTAATAGGGCAATAAAGATGAAGGAGGAAAGGAAGGACAATACAGGTAGCCTACTAGGATCCACTTGATGTGGCTACAAAGTTCTTAGCAACAGGGAGGATTGGGACAGGGAAGTCTCAAGAGAAAGGAGCCAACTGATCAGGGTGACTAGAATGTGATGGAGGAAGAGAGGAGTGAAAACATAGGTAACCTACTTGAATCTACCTTTGTTTCTCACTTATACCTTTAAATCCCAGTACTCACAATTATCTCATTAGTATATTTGTAAATGTAATATTTTGTGTCATAAATAAGCAATACTGAGCCAACTTAGTCTTGCATTACAAAAGTATGTGTTACAAAGGCATTCTTCTCCTTCACATTTCCTTCCATGGACTACAAAATAATGAGCTGACAGACTCAAAATTTGCTGGAGTAGAACAGTCACACTGTGCAGGTGTTATACATTTTTATTATGATAAATATGGAAAAAACTCATCAACTTGAAAGCATATGAAATAATACGCTGTACATAACAACTGCCAACATAAAAATTATTTAATATTTGAAAACTATGTACATATTAATTCATGTCAAGGAAAGCCAAAGACTATGAATTTATGGTTATCAATGAAACATTTTAGTTGCTTATCAATCTCAACTCTGCATTTTTGAACCTCTGGATTATACAGTGACGAGAAGTTGAGTATGCTAAAACAAATTCTAGTGTCTTCTTCATCAAGAAGGATGAGTTATCCTATACTGAGCTTACTTCTCAGATCATTTTATCATGAAGCAGGGATAATCCTGACAATTGAAGAGTTTAAACAGAAGACTTCCCAGGCAGCTTCATCATTCTCTGTGCAAATGGAGGAGGACCTATGGTTCCAGATGGGCCTTTGGAAATAATGGCAGTGGAGATTGTGGGTAGAAAGCCAATAAAATTTAAGAGAGGGAAGTAAATATGAGTAGAAATGATGAAGGCAGAGGTTGAGACTATCAGCCAGGTATTTGAAAAGGGTCAAATCACCAATAACATTTGCTGAGCATCAGTAAAAGTGAAACAAAATAAGACGAACCCATGAACTTCCAATTAAAATTCTATCCACTTAAGACACTTCTTTATGCCTATTACTGTTTGGGAAACCAATTGGATTTTCAAGGACAGGCGACTTTACCAGTAAATAAAATGATACCATTTTTCCTGATGACAAACAGAAAGGGGTGATCAGCTCTAAACACTGTGGACTCAGGGAGCTGCTTTTCTACAATGTCATTTTCTGTGGCAGCAGTGGCCTCGCTGCCCTCCTCTGTGACCTCTATGAATGACTTGTGCATTAGCTTTGAGATATAGAGACGGCCTCCAGAAGCAATTCCAGAGAGGTCTGCTCTGGACTCATCAAAGATGTCCTGCAACCCTAAGGGCTTCAAGTGGCCTCTCATCTCATAATTCTTCTCTATCTTGAACTGAGGAAGAAACACCTCCACATACTGAGATTTCATTTTCCTCCTATTGGTCCACTCCATTAGATTCCGAAAGCTCAGTTTGCTTTCAACCTGCAGAAAGTTTTAAAAATTTGGAAACACATTGTTAGGAAAATGATGAAATGGGGACTAGAGAAATGCATGGTTTTTGGTAATTATACCCTTCTGGGATTTTGTATTTAAGTACATGAATGAAATGTGGAAGGAATCCCAAAGATAAAATGATTGAAAAGATTAGCTCAAGTATTCATAAACAAGTTGCATGTTTAACTCACTATACTATGACAAGCCATAATTTATGTGTGATGTGTGATTTATGAATTTATATTATGACATGTCTGATATCTTCCCACATTGGAAAAAACAGAGACAATGTGGAATAATAAGTAGGCAAAACAGAACCAGGAAGGGTATGGGAATGGTTTGGAGAAAGAGGAAGGGGGAAATGATGTGATTATGTTACACACAAAAATTAAAAGAAATAATTAAAATTTATAAAAAGATTTTTTTTATTTTTTTGTTTTATTTTTTTTTTTTTTTTGAGACAGGGTTTCTCTGTGTAACAGTACTGGCTGTCCTGTAATTAACTCTTATCAACCAGGCTGGCCTGGAACTCACAGAGATCTGCCTGTCTCTATCTCTTGAGTGCTGCAATTAAAGTCATGCACTATCACTGCCCGACGAAAAAGAAAAAAAATTAAAAATATAGTTGGAGTTACTATTTCTGTGAAGTATTTTAAAGTTAATAATATAATAAAATAGGAGTCAATATAAAAGGGAATGGTTTATCAAAGAGAAACAGAACTTAGTGGTTATTCAGATCAGTGTTTTCTAATCATTTTCCCACCATGAAAGACACATAAGGTTTGAATAGCTTAAAAATTAAACCAATGGAGAGCTGGCTCAGCAGTTTAATTCTCAGCATCCACATGTTACAACCATCTATAACTCCAGTTCAAAGAATCTGATGCCTTCTTACTCCAAGGACACCAGGCATGTGTTTGGTGCATAGACATGCATGCAGGCAAAATACCCATGAACATAAAATAAAGTTCAAAAATAAAATAGTAAATAAACTCAGGTGGTCTGAAGCAAAAGCCCCAGGATCCCAGCTCTGGGGAATGGAATAATGGATCTCTCCTTTCCTCATTAGGAAGCCTGAACTCACAGCTCTACCCAACACATGAGAAACAGAAGCTCAGAGGGTGAAGGGTACACCTGGGGTACAAAGCAGGAAGCAATCTTGGCTCCACACCTAGAGTAAACACCTCTCTCCATCAACATGGTTGCTTCAAGCAATTCACAAGTAAATCTTGCCTGGTTTATAATGGGAAAGTTTACTTAAAATAAATAGTAGAAATAATATATACAGATACCTCTTAAATTCAGATGACTTAGAATTCTAAAATACTTTTCAAATGCATCAAACTTATAATTTTATAAAGAACATTAATTTATACAGTCCAATTTAGTTCATTGGAAATTTCCATGTTTAAATAATCTAGTTTTTAAATAGTCTATAATAACTTATTATTCTGAATTTATTTTTTTCTACTTGATTCTAGCCTTCTATAGTGTCAACTTTCGCTCATGCATGTAACACACATGCACATACACACAAAATAGAAAATTAAATAACCAAAAATACTCTACACACAATATTCCCCTGTAGGAAAAGGACAATGGTCACTTACTTGGGATAGGTCATTCTTTGGCAGCATGATATACATGCTTATGTCACCATGATATTGGAGCTCGAGAACCTGCATGGGTGGGTCCTGAATTGTAGACATATTGAACCTTCGTTCTTGATGCATCATAGCAACTGCCTTTTCAGGACACTAGATATCAGATCACAAAGATGTGTTTACAATCCCATATCATTGCACTCATTCATCAAGTACACAGGAAAATATGGATTTGGTCAGTAGACCTTGGAGATTTTCTGATATGTTTCAAGTGTTGGCTGTAAGAGGCATTCATCTTAATCATAGAGGTTCAGACTTTGAGGTAGTCTTTATTTGAAACGTTTCTGCAGGTAACTTTGAGTAAGGTGCCTCATATTTCTGCCTCCAGATCCTCATCTATATGATAGGAATGGCAGCAATCCCTGCTGTACGTGTAGTGGGTACTCTGTGGGTTAATAGGTGGAAGATTGCCTTACACTCGGTGTCTCAGCTGAAATGTCTCTATTAAGCAGTGGGTAATGATGAAAGGTCAATAAATGAGTGAATTGTGTAGCTTTTTAATACAGACTGGAGTTATCAAAATCACATGATTTAAGAATGATATCTTAGAAAAATTAAAAATTGCTACAAAGTGGTAGTTTACATCTCAATAACTAAGGAGCATTTGAATTCTTATCTTGAAGCTATCACTCATAGATTTAGAAATACCACATAGGTGTAACAAGTTGTTTTTTCCTGTTCATATTAAAATAGACAAAATTGTCAACCTCTCTGTATGTCTATTTTTAGGGCAAAATTTCTCCAGGAAGGATAGTTAATTCTGTGTCCTCAAACCAAAGGCCTCTCCTGCAAGTAAAATTGGCCCTTTGTGCTTCAGAGAGAGAGAGAGAGAGAGAGCACAGGGAGCAACAAATAACACATGCACCCATGGAGAGAAGTTGGAGTGGTCTTGTTCCAAGTAGGGACTAGGCTGGCTCAACCACAGAATGCATGTCTACACCTACACAGAAAAAGTCACATTCTTACAGGTTATTTTGCTGACTTTTGGTTGGTGCTTTACTTTTATTATCCATGTTTCTCTTCAGTCACCAACTTTTAAACTATCAACACCAACTGTGACCTTAGCAACCAAGACTGCATGGCCTATCCTATCACGAAGCTGTCACACAAAGGGATGTGGACCAGCAGAAAGGGTTTTAAAAAAAGAGGCCATTGTATGGTAATATATTTCTTAAAGCTCCAATAGAATCCAGAAACAATCAGTAGACTGGATATTGTTTGCTGTGTCTATATTGTTAAGAGGGAGATGACCTATATAATCTATGAGGTGAAAAGCAGATGGAAGAAGTATGGAACAAAAATTCACTTCCAAGTCCTGACCCTCTCAGCACTGGAGTGCTAACAAGATATAAGTATATAAGTATAAGCATGATTTCAATCTCTTTTATGCTGTATGTAACAAATAAAGCTAACACTTAAATTTAAATCTACTTGCCACTATTTCTCTGCATTTTACATAAAATACTGAGTGATTAAAACAAATTTTATATATCATCTCACTTAATCATTTCAATCTGTGGGGAGTCCAACAGCATTTAGTCTTGCCGAAAACAATAATGCCACTTCTAGAATGCAAGAGAGGGATCTTACCACATTGGGCAATGCAGAAGAAATTGGTGCAAATACCACAATTTTCACAAAGGAATAACTGGGGGGAATCATTAATGATAAGTACTTACCGTGGGAGACCTGAAACGGCACTTGAGGGTCTCGCTCTTGGTGAAGGCGGACTTCCATTTGCCTTTGAAGTAAACAGCATTCACCAGCACCATGACAGCCGAGGAACTGAGGCTGCTGCCACCTAACACCTTCTTGATTTTTCCTTTTGAAAATAAGTTGAAGGAAACAACGCTCATCTATATTGAAACAATTTTGAAATGTGCTCACAGACTATTAACAGGCATCACTTTCTTCTTAGATCATTACTATATAACATACTAGTAATAAATATGCCTGGTATTTTCTAAACCCTTTAAGGACAATATTTGATTTAACCCTCATAAAGTCTTTATAAAGTCTGTTCTGCTGTTCTTTCCGTTTCCTGTTGAGGGAAATGAAGCACAAGGACATTAGATGATCAATATAGTCACTCAATAGTGGCCAGCTGCAACCATTGATGTGACTGTGGAATCTGCAGAACCATGGACTCAGCCTCATACATCTGTGAAATGGCAAATCCTGCAATGAAGAAACCAAGCCTTATAGTAGACACTCAAATAAAGCCCGGGGAATCACATTCCAGAACAAAACAGAAACTCGTGTCCTGAAAGGGAGACAGATAACTGTACTGAAAGAGTATGGCCACACAAACATCAGATGAGATGAAACAGTTTGAGAAGTTCCTTGTAATGTATAATAAACTCACACAAATCTGATTTGTGAGGTGGTAAAGACCTCACAGGACAAGTGAATCCTTAGGAGATCTCCTATTCTGAGCACTGCTACAGACAAACTTTCAAGTGACCCTAAATGTAACAAAAAGACTTCAGAAATATAATTCTCAGCAGAATGAAGCCCTGGCAGCCGATGTGGGACTCACTGGCCTGCAACAGCGAAGTCCTGAGGGGGAGCTTGTACTGCAAGTGGTGATTCATCAGTTCAAACCCGACAACACCAGATATTGCCACCACGTGATGAGCAGAAACAGCTCAGTGCTTCCCAGAAATAATCAGTTATTATTATTAATCAATCAACTGTTGTTTAGTGAGAGTGATAAGATCAACATTTGTGGAGAGCTTAAGAGTTAGGTACTTGGTCACTTTACTTAGACCAATAAACCAATTTATCTATTTAGACTTAGTTTTAAACACAAAATTAGACCCAGCCTTGTGTGAGAGTCAAATATATTACTAAAATAAAAACATAAATGTAAATATTACTGAAGAAACAAAAAATAATGGCAACATGAATCCTACCTGGGAAGACAGTTCCCAAAATTCCTTCATGGCACTGACCAGACTCCTTTGAAATTGTGTCCCTCCAAGTAGAATTTAATTCCATTCCATTAAAAAGATTGATTCCTCCCAATTCACATTAATGAGACTGTTGTTAGTTATATCCTTTGTTCATGATGCTTAAATTGTAGCAATGAAAGTTGTAGTGCATGTCATCTTGGACATACCCCATAAAAATAATTCGTTGTCTATAAAGTCATAATACTAACTATAATATCTGTTGACTTTCTAGGATTCATTGCCTGAAATTATCATACATTCATTATGGCTTTAGATGTAGATACCCAAGCCAATTTTACATCAACCACAATAATTATTGTTATTTCAACAGACGTTAAACCACTTTGCTGGCTAACCAACTTACATGGAGGTAATATTAAACGATCCTCCACAACTATAGCATAATAAACAACCAAGAAAGCCACTCTTGCACACAGTGCTGCAGCAATGTATAAGTATGGTGTGCTAAAAGAACACAGATTAGGAAAAACTGCCACCGAATAAGGCTGTCTCCTTGAGCTGAGAGAATTTAGGTGGCAGAAAGATGGCTCACACAGCAGAGACTGTTCAAAAATATAGAAATGTGGAAAAGAAAAAATACATGAAAAGAAATGTGCCCCGTTAGAGAACGTTAGCTAGATTGAGATAGGAAAGGTACGAGGCAAAACTGGGCTATGAGAAAGTGTGATCCTCTGTAAGACTTTTAGATTATCCTGAATATGATAGAAATATCTTTAGTTGGCTTTTAATGCACAAGGAAGCACACAGTGATAAATCATCCAACTTGTCATTATAAAGTGTGATGATTGCATTCTGCAAAGGAATAGAAAATAATACCTAGAATAATGGAGAAAATTTGAAGTACTGAGGATGCTCTTTTTAAATCGCGGGTATAGTTTATGCGCTGAATGCATATATGTGCTTATAAGAAGAATGAGAAATATGTAAGTGTTGCAGATGGGAGGGAGTAATCAAATGATTTGACTATTGTTGTGTAGAACATGTCTCAACTATCCCAAAATCATGCTGTGCCATTTCTTTAAATTCATAACTGCTATAATATTATATTTGAGACTTTTAATAAGTAGTGAACAAAGACACAGTAATAATATAATGGTGAGTGAACAAAGGAAATGGAGAGATCATGTTCTTCCTCCAACGAGTACCCATATGCTGCTAAACAGAGTGTGCACCACGTGGCTCATTGTTCTGAGGCAAAGCAAAACTCAATACAGGAATAATATTCACAGTACAAAATGGAACCCACCACTAAGTAAATGAGTAATACCAACTTTCAAATCAGTTGATTAGCAAAACAAAAGACTAACAGATTTCCATTTGTTTTCTGTTAGTGGAGAACTTTGTCTAAATTCAGATTTTCATTATGAAAAGTACCATAAAGAGTTGGCATTCTCTGAAGGTACAACCTTTGCCAAATGTTATCTTAATAGAGATTTTTTAAAAAAAATATGAAAATCAGTCAGGCAAATAGTCTTAAATAACAGCAATCATTACTTTGGATTAGGAGGGACTATATCTTACATGCCTAAAAATTCTCTTCTTTCAAGTAGACTGATCTTAATATTTGTATACAACTGACAAATAGTGAAGAAAACAAAGTATTTTACTTGCCATGTGTCTCATTTTCAATCCATTTATTAATTTTATATCTGGTTTCTTCTATATCATTTGTAAAGTCAACTCTTTCCACTTTGGCATTGTATAACTTTTCAGCACAAGCAATGTAATTCTGCAAATAAGAATATAGATTTCATATTTGTAAATACCACCACAAGTATAAAAGAAAAGAATTTTTTAATTAACTCTTCATTTTCACTGCCTGCAAAATGAGAAAGTATGACCAGAGTTATAGAAATAGGCTAGTAATGAACTTGATGGTCTGGACTGGGTTGGGAGATGATAATGTTCACTGCCTTGGCTTTAGCATTACCTTCTCATCATAAGTATTCTAGTGTCCCCGTCATCTCCATTCCAGCTAAAAGTCTTTAAAGGCTACTTACCACACATAAGATAAAGCCCCAAACTTGGAACACAGTCAACAAGGTTTTACAGCTCATTTCCCTAATTTCTAGTTATTTTCCTCTTCACAGTGTCACCCCAAAATCTTTATATTTCCTTTAGAGTATCATCTGCATAGCCTGCCTTATTTCAGACCTTTGGACAATGCTTCTTCCACTCTAATGTTCCTTAGTGCCAGCAATCATCCCGCTTGTTTTCTAAGCATTACTTACCATCTCTCCATAGAGACAGCTTTCCTAGGTCCCTCCTGTGGCTTATAACAATGTCTTCACTTTCATTTTTCTTTTTAAAGAAAAAAATTAGTATCTGAACACTTGTAGAGAGGACATTAGAATACTTTGATAAATATATTTAATATATAATTACAAATCATGGTTGTAAGTACCACCATCTCTTCAAACATAATCACAGATGTCACAATCCTTGCATTTGAGATATTCCAATTCCTCCATGATACACTAAACTCTGTGAAGCTGAGACCATGCATGCTTTGTTTGTTACCATTCCTAGTGCAAAACATGATGACTTCTACCTAATGTTTCTTCAAAAGTACTTCTTTTTAATAAAGAGAAAATAGTTACCAAATTTACCAGTATTCTAAAAATATAACAAACACAGAAGTTTTTTGGAACAAAGTTTTTGTATTTGTAAGAAAAATATTTATTATAACTTATATTGATATATATTTGCTAGTAATTATCTTAGGAAATGCTAAAAATTTTTCTGTACTAATGGTAAGGATTGACGAGCAATCTCTTGTCTCTCTACAGGATGAGATTAACTGCTTATTTCCCTCTGCTCATCCGTCCATTCATCTATCCATCTACCTGCTCACTCACAGATACGAATTACAAAGATTAGTTTTAAAACTCCATCCACATCCAGAGACTTTAATATAGTAAGCATAAGCTATCAGGAGAAAAAAAGATCAAGAAAGGCAGGAGTTGGAAAACTACACAGACACTAATGTAGTCTACCACTTCCAGGCAGCCCTGTAAGACTTACAAAGCTGTTAGGCATTTATGGATTGTTCTTTATGTTCAATTAACATGTTATACAATTCTCTTTTCAAAAGTATCACATTTGAAAAAAGGAATATTAGTGATCCAAACAAATTTATCTTTTTTTTTTGTCCAAGTCCTAAACTCCTCTACAGCTGTTCCTGTGAGCTAATGGTGTTATAGTCATCTGTGAACAAAGCATGAGTTCCTTTGTCTTGGAAACAGAAGCATCGCTTCCCCTTTCCCAGGAGAAGCTTTCTATCATTAGCCCTTTCTGTGAAAGCTGATTTTAGGGAGGGTGTATGAAGTTGAAGCATCAGACTGATGACAGATTTCTACCTCTCAACATATGAGGGCATCCTACAGCTTGCCTGCTGGAGCTGGGATGATGACCATTTGACCTTGAACTACAACTGGTACATGGCTTTTTCTTTGGTCTAGACAGTCATAACTTTTTACCTAGGACGTCTAGGCCATCTGCCTTGCCAATTGTAGATTTTAGGGCTTCTCTTTTTCCACAGTCAAGTGAGTTAAGTCCTTACCACAAATTTCTCTGCAGCCTGTTATTTCTGTCCTCAAGAGAACCCTGACTGAAGAACTCATTAGAAAGACATCCACCTATTTTCTCCTTGTCTTTCCCAACTCCTCTGTTACATTCTTTCCAGAGACAACAGGATTCCTACATTTTCTAACATCCAAAAATGTTTTTAAAACTCTGGTCATAAATGTCCTTTTATTTTCAATCTATTTCTTGGATTAATGTTTTAACTTTTTTCATAATAGACTGTGGTAGTTTGAATAAGAATGACACCCAGAGGATCACATATTTGAATGCTTAGTCTTTAGGGGGTGACATTACTTGGGAGGGTTAGAGGTATGGCCTTGTTAAGGAAGTTTGATTACTAGGGTGGACTTTGAGGTTTCAGAATTCCAAGGTAGGCAGAGTGGCTTTATTCCTTCCTGATTCCTTTGGATCTGGATATAGAAATCTCACTTTTTTCTACAGCATCAAGTCTTCCTGCATACCATCTGCTCCATGCCTTGATGGCAATGGATTGAAACTCTGAAACTGCAATCAATCACCCAATTAAATTACTTTTGTGATAAGCTAACTTTCTAAACTATAATTTTACTAAATGTGTTTAGGAGTTGTAGGAGATTTTTTTTATCAGACCTTTAGAGATAGTTAGATAACAAATAGATAAATAGATATTATATATACATATAGTAGATAGGCAATTGATAGACAGTACATAGATTATACATAGATTGATTGATGATAGATGATATAGATGATAGGTAGGTAGGTAAGTAGATAGATAAATAGATAGATAGATGATAGATAGATAGATAGATAGATAGATAGATAGATAGATAGATAGATGGTAGATAATAGGTAGATAGGTGATTGACATGTAGACATATGTTAGATGATAAATCACTATCCTTTTGGACAGTTCAGCTTCCTTCTTGATTTGAATATCTTTTATTTCTTTTATTACTGTATTTAATATGTCAAATTTAAGTGATGAGAGTGGTCATCATTGTCTTATTACTGATGTCAGACAAAGCTCTTTCAGTTTTCCTTGAGTATATTTATTTTTGACAGGAATGTACATTCTATCTCTACATAATTTACTGAGAATTTTTACTATACACATTTAGCTTTTAATACTTTTTTCTGTACCTAGTGAGGTGGTTATATGGTTTTAATCCTTCATTTCTCCCATGTGGCATATTCTACTTATTGATTTCTATGTACTGAACTATCTTTTTATCCCAGATATAAATTCTGCTTAGCCATGGTGAATGTTTCTTTTAATATGCTGTTAAATTTTATTTGCTAATATTTTATGAAAGACATCTAAAGTTCATATTCCAAAGGGTTCTTGGGCTTAATTTTATTTTTATCAGGGTTCTTATGTAGTATGGCAGTGTTCTTGAATAGCATGTCAGTGCTTTTGTGTAATGTAGCAGTGTTCTTGTGTAACGTGGCAGTGTTCTTGTGTACCATGGCAATGTTCTTGTGTATTTTTGCAGTGTTCTTGTGTAACCTGGCAGTGTTCTTGTGTAATGTGGCAGTGTTCTTGTGTAGCATAGCAGCTCTTATGTAACATGACAGTATTCTTGTACAAAAAAATCCCTAATCTTCAGTTCACAGTTGTTTACAATTGTTCTTTTTTTTATCTCTTTAATTTCTATAGGCTACATTATTCTTGCTTACTTCCTTCTGTAAACGCTTAGTATGCACATCTTTTTCTAATTTATTTTGATGTAATATCTGGTTCCCATTTGTTTTTGTTTTTTCAAAAGTATGTATTAACTGCTAGGAATCTATTTCTTAAATTTTCTTATTTTGTAGCCCTTAAGCTTTGGTGTATTATTTTTTCAATATATTTTCAATTTTTCATTTTAATTTTTTCTTTATTCTTGGTCTACTATCTAGAACTATTTTGAATTTGAATTTTCTTTTTACAATTTCACACATATATACAATGTATTATGATACTGTTTAACTCATATTACCCTCTCTGGTCTTTCTTCATCTTCCTCTGAGCCCTATATGCTTCCCAACCTGTTCCATCTTAGTTTCATTGTTTTGTCCTAATGTTTTTTTTTTTTAATTTAGAATTACAAGTAGGAAGAAGACTAAATAGATCACATTTAGTGATGAAATATGAATGTTGGGGGAAAAGCAGCATCAAAAAATGACCTAATGCCTATTGGTATTGCTCATTATAAGAGAACAAAGAAGAAAACATTTAGAAGCATAAAGCATTGTGCTCATTTGAGGGCTTACACTGTATAATGCTGAGCTTGGCACTGAAGGGAAGAATGACCTATCTCACATCTATAGAAAATCACAAAGGTAAAAGGGACTATGTTGGGAACATATAAACTACATGAGTACATCACTTCTTTCTATATAAAGATAGTAGATTGAAAATAAATACAATACAATTATAATCCTCAAACAACTTCAATTTCAAGGATTACTGAAAACAATAATATACAAGAAGACAAATATAAAGCAACCAGAAAAGATGAAAAAGTAGGAGAAAGCACCTATTTCTATAAAAGCATGGAAGGAGAAAGTTCTAGGAAGTATATTAACTATTCAGAATAGGTCACAAGTGAAGGTCTAGCTGAGACAGAAGACTGTGTGATGCAGTGGCCATTGGTGTGTTAACAACTGTACATTTAAAGTTATCTGTAGCTATCATTTAGTTGCCTGGGCACAATCACTGAGGAACTATGCCACAGTGATCTGGTTTGCATGGCTCCTTGGAGAAGAATGACATTGCTTAAAAATGGTTAAGGAATGGATCCCAGAGGAGTGAGTTATGACAATAAATACATTTGAGAAAGGGGAAAAGTAAAATGATTGAATGATTCAGGAGTTGAAGAACTGATGGAGCTGTTAAAAGAATAAGAAACATAGGATTCTGTAGTCAGAAAACATCAACCTGCTATTGAAATTTCAGAAGGGAAATAGCTTTTCATGTTCTTGAGTTTCAAGTATGTTTGGAGATTAAATTACTAACATAGCATGAGGAGAAGGCTGAGAAACCATACAGAAAATTATGGGAAGAGCATACACTAGGGTAGAAAGTGCCAGTCCACAATAATACTGACAATATCTAAATCATAGCAGAATTTGGGGGATGTGGAATGTCATTTACAGAAATCTGTCCCAAGGCATAGGAAAAATTAGAAAAGCAAAGAATTTTAGTAATGATTTTATTTTTTAAATGTAATATTCTTTACATGTATAATTTATTCTTTATTATCAGATAAATATTTTATCCATATCAAAATAATAAAAAGAATATTAATAAAACATAAAGTTAGAAATAACCTAGCTTTGAGCTGATGATTAAATTCATTATTTTTAAGTTCAAAAATATTTTTTCAAATTCACCAGCTGGGGGACTGAACCAATGGCCCCCATTTAAGAGTACTTCCAGGTGCTCTTCCAGAGAACCCAAGTCCAGTTCCTAGCATCCATGTTGAATGTACCATAAGCCTGTAACTACAGCTCTAGTGGATTTCATGATCTCTTCTGACCTCTTTGGGCAATTGTACTCATGTGTGTATATCCCCAGGAAAACTTATATATATAGACATTATTAAAAATAAAAGGAAAAGTAAGAATAATTAACTCTACTTTGCATGTTTGAGAGGACAAATAACACCAAAGATGCTTGATAAATCCTCAAGGAATCATATTATTTTATATTTACCTAGAATTACACATAATGTGTATAATATATACATATATACTTATATATTAAGGGTAGTTAAGTCCCTTGATCTGACAGTGCTTTCCACAAAAACTGGACTAACAAAAATCCCAGTTCCAGGCATGACAACCATCTTTTGAATCACAGTCACACTGTGTCACAGTGGTCACAGTGACACTGGTCACAGTAGTCCACCTGACTTCTAAAATAAGATAAACTATTGGTGTAGTCCTTGCTCGTCTCTCAGGGGTTGAGGGTGGGTTGCTATTCCTGAAGACACACACACTTAGGACTCAGATGATTTGATTTGAGCTAGATCTGAGTGGAAAGCCTCTTCTCTACAGTCTAATTTTCATCAATCTAGAAAACACTATGCAAGTCGCCAAAGGGAGGAAAAAATTAAACAGTCTGCAACAACCAAGAGCCAAGCTAATGGCCAGCTAGGCAATATAGACATAAAGGTGCAATAAGTGGCTCTCACGTGTTGATGGTAAGCAAGAGCTTTCCAACTAAACTTAAGAACCCCTCGACAGGAGAGAAATCATGTCCAGTAGTGAAAACCTAGCCAGTTTCCCAGGGCTAGTGAGTTCAGAGACATTAGAACAGAATCTATTTCCACCACTTTACTAGATCAGCATAATTCAAGACTACATTATAAATCTCATCCTTATACTCATTAGATAAGTGTAAACACCAACCCTCATCAAAAGAAGCTTTCCTTTACAGCAAATGAAGACCATTACAGAAAACAGCTGGGTGTAATACAGAGACCAAGAGATCATGGGAAGCCCGGACCCAACAGAAACATCTCCTGTGTCTATGACTTAGGGAACATCTACAAAGAGTGGGTAGAAAGTCTGGAAGAGTCAGAATACCAAGAAGTCTTTTGTGAAATAGTTTCTTTTAGAAATGACTGCATAAAAAGATTGGAACAAAGGAAATATTAATGGAAATATGAACCTGAAAGGGGGGAAATTTTGTAGGAGCTCACCCCTTGACAAAGAACTATAGGTAATTAATGACTTCTGAGAGAAGGAAAATGCTCCTCTCCCGTGGATTATCCTGTTTATTGGTTGTTCAATGCAAAGAGGTCACTCTTGAAGCAATATACAAACAAGCAACATACATGCATATTTGTATGCACATAACTATAATAATCAAATGCTATCAATTTGAGAATGGGGAAGGTAAAAGAACAGCTGGAGGTAGGGGACTTGGGAAGGACCAAAGGAAATAAATTGAGGTAGGAAAGGGACATAATTCTATTTTGATTAAAAACTATGATTGATGGAAAACCTTGTTAGCCAACCATCTTTAAGAGGTGGGTCTTAGTTAAGGCGTGGCTTCGCTGGGACCCAGGGTAAAAGGTATGCACCTCCACATGTGCCCTCTCTGTGCTTTTTTCCATAGGACATTGCTGTGCTTGGATTTCTAATTTCCTGTTTTGTGAGTTTTTCTCTTATAATGAATAAAATGTAGTTGTTTTATCCTTAGCTAGCCTGGTTATTTCTACAAAGGATCTCTCCATTTCCCATATTCTTGACCAAATCTTGCCTTCACTGTGCTTCTTAGTGTGGTGTGTTTTCATCCCATGAGTGTCAGGAAAAAGAAAAACATGAGGATTGTTGTATGCAATAGCACAGGAGACAAATCAACTCTCCGTTTAAATGATTTAGCATTCCCTTAAGAATGTGTTAGCAATCTGTATAAGAATAGGAAAATCAAATATGATAGACACACAGAATGGTTCTCTTAAAATGTCATAAAAAAAACTTTTGGGACGATGTAAAAACAAAAGGTGGCCTAATACTTCCTAATTGGCAGGAGACCAAAGGATTTGGGAGCGGTTCTGGGGAGGGGCAAAGAATTTGAGTGGGTGACAGCTGAAGGAATAATGGTTGGGTGGGACACAGAGAGTTGGCAAAGATGCAGGTCATTAGCCTGGTGATGTCACTGAGACAGAGTTTTATGGATGGTTGTGTGAAGAGTGGAGAAGCGTAAGTCCCAGAGAAATACAGGCACATGGTTGCTTAATAGTCCTAACCAGTGAACAGCTTCTGGTAGTCACTGCACCAAAGGTTCCATAGCAGGATGAGTGCGGTAGCTTAGAGACTATAATTTAGACCTCGTGGCCTTCAAGTAGGCAGGGTGTAGTGATGATGCATTGAGTACCAATGCCATTCAGAAATATTAGTCAATTGACCTATTTCTAATGCTTAGTGAGTCTGAGCTTCTTTTCTGCCCATATCTGTAAAGGCTGGCCTTATCTACACCTCCTTGGGAAGAACTCATGTACAGACAATCTCACTGAGAACAAACAACTAAAAAGAAAAATGAGTATCATTGCTGAGAAAGAAAATGGTGGCAAGGGGAGATAACTCACTGGGAATGATGCATAGCCCTGAAGTTCAAAGGAAGCAGTGGTTTGTCTCTGAGCCATGGACTCCCTGCATATCCCTCCTCAGAACTTTCAGTTATAGCTGACATCACTCCTATGCCAGTAGCCTCTAGGTCTGAAGTGCATCAGTTGGACCACACTGAATATGTGGGTTCACTAGATCACAAGGTAATATTTTGAAGACCACAGTGGAAGCAAGAATAATAAAATAAATTTTTTCATGGCTTATAAGAAGGTAGAATATAATATTCATGTAGTAGATGGAACAAGATTTACATCTAGAGTAGATGCAACCTTCTGAGATAAACAGTTTTACCCACCTTATGAAAGTCAAACACTTTTTCTGCAAAAAGTCCATTGACAATGCTGAGTTCATAATCCTTATGGGATGAGTTTATGTCAGTGAGAACTCTTTTCAATTGATGCTGCAGTCCTGACTTTCAAACAGAGGGACACAAATTCAATCTCATACTAAAAAGATGAATATTATCACTTACACATGAAATAAATCATGTCTATTATTCTATATAAGCACTGGAAAATATTGCTACAAAAGCAGCAAGCAAAGCATCAAATATATGATCAGTGTCTTTACCCTTCCTCATCTTATTGTTTGCAATCAAACTGAACAACTTAGTGAAATAAAGTTATCAATAGAAAGCTATCAATTAGTTCGAGATCCATATTAGTTCATTAATTAACTAGTGATTGAATTTTTTAAATTTTTAACTAAATTAATTAATTTAATAATTTCACTTAACTGTAAAGGACAGAAGAGAAAGGCTGATTATCAATATTTTACTACAACCTGGCAAGCAAACAAGTTGGTAAATTAGTAATTAAATTATCAAAATTATGTTTGTTTTTTATATAATTAAACATGACATTTGGGGGTTTGAAATGGATCTCTTTGTTTTATCGGGATAGAAAACCCTAAAACATGTTCAAAAGATAGAATTTTTCTTAAACTGAATTTCTAATTGACTTTTTCTTTGAGGAACATGTTGTCTTTACCTGGTTGTTAGAGCAGTCTCCTTGCCTTGAGGGGGCGTTAAAGTAAAGTGCCTGCAAACATGATACACAATATTATCAGAATCAGGATACATGCAATGATCAGTTAGCAAGAAGTTTTGAAAATAAAAAAAAAACTTATTTCTAACAATTCTCATGAAGTGTCACTTCAATATCGCCCACATCTGAGAGCTCACTCTTCTCACGCCTCCAAACAAATGCCAATGGCTCCGGCAGAAATCACTTCTAGTTTCCAACTTCATTTCCTTTTCTTCCTGTTTCACATACTAACTTATCTCAGATTAGACATAATTGTGGGATTTCTATAAATTTAGTAAATATCGCAGTGACCTTGCTTCCTCTAAATGTCCAGTGCATACGGACATTGCCATATTCTATCTTAAAAGTCCCCAGAGTTCACGCGTTACAGTTTTAGTTTCCAATGCTTTGGTTTGAAGTGACAATTTTGAAAGGGGTCGAAGCATTAGAACTCTAACTTCCTTCAGTGGTTTAACCTAGTTCTGGATTTCTGGTTTTGTGGATTCTTGGGAAAGGAATTTGTTACAAGACAGAGCTTTCTCAATTTGGTCCCTTGCTGCAGTGAGATGAGGGTCAGCAAAGCAACTGTGGGTGGAAACCTCTGAAACTATGAGCCTTAGTACCTTAAATTTTATTTTCTCTGGTATTTTGACTCAGCAGCAGGACGTTTGTACTGCAGATGCACATAGTTAAACTCAATAGTTTTCACTATGTTCTACTGAAACACTAGCACAGTGGTCACTACAAGAATTGCAGGATAGGACAATAGTATTTTGGGAGCCGTGGAACACCCAAGCCTTACTTTGGAATAACCTGGTGGTTCGTTGGAGCATTTGGGTCAGTACTCATTACATCACCAATTCGTGGGTTTGTTTAATGTTTCTTTAAGTCTTGCCTACCAGTTTCTGCCTTCGTTCTCATTATTTAAATGAATTCTGGAACATGAAATTCATTAACATTTTCTATCAACTATAATTTCTCCACGTCTTCAAATTCCACCACAAAGTAGTACTGTTTTAATTTGTCATGTCCTCAGACAAAATATCATCACCAACTGAACATTAAACTATTCCTTCCCTCCTCATTGTCTGCTCCCAGTCTTCTGAGATTCTCCACATATAAACTTTCTCCAATAATCAAGTTATTAATAATAGCAACTTTAAAATTATGTGAATACATGCCTTGTTTTACCTAATAAATGCCTTCTCAGTGCAGAAACCCAGGCTTTGGCTCACATTCTGTCTTATTCTTCATAGCTACATGTTCTCTTGTACCATGCATATACTAAAAAGGTTTATTTCGGGTATTCATTTGTGTTGACAAGTTAAATAATATATTCTTGAATCAAATGTGATTTTAATTTGATAAGGGGCAGTTTTGACTGATAGAGGATAATCTTGTGGTAGTATACGTGTGGTTATGGCTCTTCATCTCCGAAGCTTCTATCAAAGTCCATCTTCCAGCCTGCTCCCATTCTCCCCACAACTTGCCTTCTGCATTATTATGGAATCTTGACTAGGGCTAATTTTGGTAGCTTCTGGTAGGGGGTTCTCAACTTTTTCTGTGTAATTCAAGATTGTGTCTACAAAGTTTAAGAAATTCTTACATGCCTCAAGTTTGGAAATTTTAATATTAAAGGATATAGTTAGAATAGAAATATGTTGTATTTATAATTGAATAAAAATGAAAAATTAATATCTTATGCCCAATTCAAAACTTCCTTATGATGTCAAGTTTTAAAAACCATCGTAGACTTAAAATGCACTTTTGATAATCTTTAATTCCTCACAAAGAGAAATTTGTTTCAACGGTGAGTAATCATACATGACATGCTCAGTTATAAAGTTCTCAGTGTTTACTAAAAACCTATGGGACCTGTGAGCTACAGATCCTCGGAAACTTTTGATGCAGTAGTTAGTTCTTAGGATTTTCTTGTCTTAAATCTGTAAGCTTGATAAACTGCTATGGTGAGGGCTTGACATTCAAGGGTTCATACCATAGAAATCTATCAGAGAATGCTTGTCCACACATGCTAAGTATAAAGGATTTATTAAACAACAACAACACATGACATTGAAGTAATGAATGTGTTAGTCTTAGTTAACCATTCTATAATATATGCAAAGATCAACACATCACATTGTACTTCATGGATATATTTACATATATAATTATTGTTTTTTAGTTAAATTTTTATTTTAAAGTTGAATTATTATTATTATTACTATGATTATTATTATTATTTTACAAAGAGCAATCTTGATGAGATAAAATATGAAAGTGAGACTTGGTGATTTATGTGTGTGTGTTAGCTCACAGAAAAGTTAGAGTTGCATGTAGTGTTGGCTTGGGTAAATTACAGACCATACATTGGGATAAGTACCATGAACTGGAAATTAGAGTAAATTCAATAAATATAAAATGAAAGAATTTTTATCTATTTTATATATTCTAGAGAAACAGCTTAATAATGAATTATTCAATTTATGTAAATACTAAAAATAAAAAATATTTTAAAATGTATTTAATCAGCTAGGAAGCAGATATAGCATTAATTATCTAGGCATTATTATGTAAAAGTGAAAGACAGCCAATGATATCTAAGAAATATTAGATCTGAAAGTCAATCATAATTTGAGCAATAGTTTATGATCTTACGACTGTGTGAACTTAATCAGGAATAGACTTCTATTCTTTTCCAGTGTGGCTCTCACAGCCCTTTCCAACAACTGTTTCTGTGCCCAAGTCTTTATAGATTTTGATCTAGACATCTGAAATGCAAAACCTTCCTTCCCCTCAGAAGTGGGAAAATGTCCTGCTCATATGATGACTGGTTATGGTACTGTGGAGGGACAGCCCAGAGACTGCTGGAACAACTTACTTGTTTCTCCAACAGCTAATAAGAAAAGTTAGATAACTGCTAGCCAGTGTGGATCAGTCCTACAACTCAGCTCATGACTCCTAAACTCTGAATTGTGTTTCCCATAAGAAACAACAACTAACGTCCTCTTTTCTCAGACTGGAGCTATTCTGAAGCTGAATATGAAATAATATGTATATGGAAATTTCAAGAAAATGGGCAGTGTTAGTATCTCTGTGAAGGCTTTCCTCGTTGGACTCTTGATTAACCTATTGACTAGGTGAAGACGGAACAACTCAAAAATAAGTATGAAGCCTTACAAAGACTCTATCAACCTTAATTTCAATAGGCTATAGACAATTGGAAACTGTTCTTAATCTGGTATGGTAATGTGAGATACATTGAAGATAGAAAAAAATCAACAAATCAAGTTTGATATACAGATCAACAATTATTTCAAGTTTGCAAGTTGGATCTCTGCAGACATCAGGGGACAGCTTCAGCTTTACATATTAACTCTTGTATTGTTTTCTCCCTAGCACTGAGCCCTGATGATGAACAACATCAAATTCCCTTTCTCATTCAGAATTGGCCAAACTCATGACTTTCCAGGGAGAAAGATCAAATGTGAGAGAGAAGCAATCAACATCAGGCAAAGGAGATGAGAAACATTCACTCTTCTGTACTGGGATGAATATGAAAGTCAGAGCTAAGTGAACAACATGAGGCATATATACAACTTTCTAAACAGTTCTACTTTCTGTCTTTCTCAGGGAATGGAAGTTGTCTTCAGAGGATTTACACAGCAAAACCTCAAGTGTGCTGATTTTTGACATCAGTCCTGTAAAAGCCCAAACCCTGAGTAGTAGAGGCCTCACATGAGCCAGAAATGCCAACCTCAATACAGCACTGTAAAATGAGGGCCATCTTGTTGGGGTTTCTTTCCTGCCCAGTTCCCACAGCCAGTAAGCCCCAAAGAAATTACACAGAGGTCTATATTAATAGTAAACTGGTTGGCCCATTAGCTCAGGCTTCTTATTAACTCTTATAACTTATATTAACCCATTATTCTTACCTATGTTAGCCACATGGCTCAGTACCTTTTTCAGTAGGGCAGGTCACATCCTGCTTCTTCAGTGGCTGGACAGGACTGCAGGAAGAGCTTCCTTCTTCCCAGAATACTCCTGTTCTCATTGCCCCACCTCTACTTCCTGTCTGGTTGTCCCACCTATACTTCCTGCCTGGCTACTGGCCAATCAGCATTTATTTAAAACATAACTGACAGAATACAGAATTGTCCTGCACAATAGTGTGTCAAAAAGCAAAGAAGTTATAGAGTTTGGAGAAAGGATTGATTAAACCTACAAGTTTGACTAAAGACATTTCTACTGTAAAGAGACAGCAATGCCAGGCTAGGGAAATTGCTCCCTGGGTAAAGTACTTGCTTCTCAAACATGAGAACTTGAATGTAAATCCCCAGAACCCACATAAAACTGGGGTGCAGGAACTTCCTAGTCTATAGTTCCAGCACTTCTCAGTTGGGAAGTGAAGAAAGGACACTCTGAGTAAGCTTTCCCCTGCTGTCCTGGCATTATATGGTGGAAATAAGCAAGAGATATCTCAAAGAAGTGGAAAGTAAGGACCAGTACTTCACGTTATCTTCTCACCTCCACATGTATGCCATGGCTCATGTGTGCCAGCATTATACATACATGAAATACATAAGACAAATATTTCAAAAAAATTAAAATAAAATAATGAAAGTGAACAAAACCAAGCTGTGATTCTTTGAGCATTAAGAGAATAATGACCATTGGTTGTTTGACAGTGCTTTTCATAGACATGTACAAGGAAGTTATGAATTGCAACTTCATTGGTTGAACCCTGAAATGTAAACACAGGGTCTATAGTGCCAATGAGAATATGCTGTACAGAGACGTTAACTGGAGCAGGACTAAGGCGTGATGCAATAGACTAAAAGTTGGCAGGAACGAACCATAACTGGCTCTATAGATGTAGTTCGTGTTTTCATCTCTTGTTTCTTGTGGGATGGTGTGATAGCAGCAGCTATAGACACAGCGTGCATGAGACAGAATGATGATGCTATAGATATCAGCAAGGAGACTCCAGCAGACAGTGGCTGTTCCCCAGGATGCAGCTGAGAAACCATTCTTGAAAGGTCATAGAGTTTGACTCACAGGTTTGACATCTAACGCCACACAGCTGGCATGGTAATCTCACCATAAAAACAAAATAATAACAACACTTCGGTATGTTATTGAGAATACCAAATAAAACCATATTTGTGGGGGTTCTTCCAGAGGTTACAGCTGATGATGTCATCAACAGGTAGTTGTCACTGCTGGCACTTTATGTGGTCCTCTGTGGACTCAACTGTAAATTCCTCTGTCTACTAATGAACTGCCAGTACCCCACTCAGCTGCCCACTAACGTCAGACTCATTGAGTTAGGCAGAGAAAGAGAAGAATCGTTGCAGTGTAAATGACAGACACAAAACACCCTCAACAACACTGAACTAAAACAGTAAGTACAAATGGAGTCAGAAATGGGTGGCTTTTAAACCTGCAAGGCAACTGCTATTGAATGGCTGAATTTCTCTGATGATTTCCTAGGAGATGGGAAGGAAACATTAACCGTCACAGTTCAGAGCGGTACAAGGGTATGTTAATAAGCACTTGCTGGAGGTGGTAAAGAAGGTGGTGATTGTAAATACTGTTTAGGTAGCCTCCTATTATCTGGTGTATATGACTGTCATTTGTGTTCAGGTGATCAGTGTCTAAACTAGGGCATCAGACTGTGGTTGAACACTTGTCTAGCAAGTATAAAGGTTCCATACCCAACACCACAAACAAAACAAAACTAAAATGGGATGCTCTGCCAAATTCTATCATACCTAAACTACTCATTCAGTGGTGTTTAAGCATTAGTGTGTGCGTAGAGAATGTCCTAAAACCCAGAGAGCTGGCCCACACCTAATAATTTACTCCATAAGCTGTCTCATTGATGCAGCTGCTACTATCAAAGGAACGGACTTTTAGAAGCAATGTGCTCAGTAAAAGCATCTGAGATTTATTTCTGCTTCTTCCCAACTAAAAACCAAGACCTGCAAGTCAAGCCTAAGGCTTAGCATTATATATTCTCTTGAAGAAAACAGTTCACCCCTATGAATGATTGGGAAATCCAACACTGACCTTGTCAATCTGATGTGCACAGTCACCTCGAGCACCCAGACGGATTAGGGTCAGGGCAGTGAAGAGGCTCAAGGAAGAGAAGAATACATTTCCATTTCCTTGACAGTTATCCATTTCTCTGAATAAGTCGAAGCCAAATTCTGCATTTGCTGCAGCAAGGGAGGCCATTGTGAAACCCAGTGTTGCCTAGAGGTCAATGGAGAGTTAAATTATCTCAGAGCACATTTGTTTGTATGTTTGCTTATTATTATTAATTCAAAACTTCATTTCTTCACCCTTGTGAGCAATTACCAAATAGCTGGAAACAGGAAGAGATGATTCCTTTGGTCCTGCATCCTTGGTTCTAATACTCTAAAATTTGCTTGGCAACAATACAGAATACGTTCCCTTTCTTCACCCTGACACAGCAGAAAAACCAAGCTCTCCTATTTGCATTGTGAGTATAATCCTAATTTTTCCTTGATGGGTGCTCTATCCTCAGTGGTTCTTGCTGACCTGTTTTCACGATGCACATTCATGCACTTAGTGATTTCAGATAGACTGTAAACTAAACATATGACTGACTGCAAGAAATCCTCTATTCTCACAGTCTGCTCAACATAGCCTTTGTTTTCTAAGCCACCCTTTTATCATATCATTTCCTCATACTGGCCCCCTCATGGCCTCTATACATATTCGTAGGGTCATTGTTCACCATGATTTTTGAACCATCTTAATTTTAAACACACTTCATCTTTGGTCTTGTAAATATATTTGCCTTTTGAAAGATAATTTTCTGATTTTTTAATTTTTTATTTATTTAAATTTTTTAAAGAAAACAAAACTATCTTTTTTCATTATACATACCAATCCAAGTTCCCACTTCCTCCCCTCCTCCCATTCACTCCACATACCCCCACCACTATCTACTGCTCTGAGAGGGCAAGGCATATTGCTTTGAGGAAAGTCTATGGCACTCCCTACTATACCTAGGCTGAGCCTGTCTGATTTTTTAATAGAAAAATAATTATTGATATAAAAATAAATAATAAAAATAGTTATTATATAGTTATTGTTACAAGTATCAAGACTTTCCAACCCAGAGGTCTAGATTTTGCTAGAAAATTCATTTAGGCTACAATAGCAAATATAGGATCATGGAGTAAAACTATCTTCTAATTCCAATAGTATTGTTCCTGGATACAGAACCGTGCCGCCACCCTAGAGTTCCCCAGGGACACACTCAGTGCGTCTTTGAAGACTTTCTCCACAGTTTAGTAATCCAATGTCACAGGGGACCTGGCTTAGACTAAATGAATTTGAATGGCTGCTCTATACCACTCTCCTTGAGTACTAGTTCACCTGGTAGCATGGCAGCCACTCAGGAGCCCAGCACTGTGTCAAGTCTACTGTAACAGTTGCATGAACTGGAGCAAATTTTTCATTCTTCTAAACTAACTTCTAGTTTATTCCGTGAAATGATCTTAGAATTATAGCAATAATGTGCAGCAGAAAAGCATGCATGTTGCCACCTGTTACTCTAGAACTGGGGAAGAACTTTATATCAGTCACCAAGTGGGAGAAGCAAAAGTATGGAAAATAGAGACCGTCTCCACGAAGAAGACATAGCAAAAGTATGGGAGATAAAGACCATCTCCAGGAAGAAGACATAGGTAGCACAAAGTAATATTCTAAAATGCCAATTTTATAAGTTACATTCCAGGAACATAGAATAAGAAAAAAAAATCAATCACATTACACACACATTTTATTCCAAGAAAAAAAAATCTATTTTTTTTAATACAAATTATTTAGGAGGCTGAATGTAGTGGCTCATGCCTTTAACCCCAGTACTCCAGAGGTAAAGACAGGCAGATCTATTTGAATTCAAGGCCAACCTGGTCTATACAGTGAACTCCAGACCAGCCAGGAATACACAGTGAGTACCTGTCTCAAAACAAACAAATAAAAAAATCAGCAAAAAAAATATAACAAAGTGTAATTTAGCGAAGGAGAAGGAAAGTGTTATTGAGAACTAAGAGTGAAGTTCAGTGGCCTAGAACAAACAAAGCCCTAGGTTATCTAGCAATTTTAAAATCAAAACCAGATAAAAAATTACCCAGAAAATTACTAAATTTATTTCATATTTTATCCAACTAATACAGGAAAAAGAGACTGTCATTAGCACCACAAATAAAAGATTCTAGCAAAAGAAAAGAAGACAAATACAAACTAGGGCTCTGGGTTTGGTAGTGACAAACCACCGAGTGACACTGACATTGTCCATGGTCTCAGAACCTTTTAGGGACTTAATTGTATTTTGGTCTTGGGAAAGAGCATCACAACTATAGCTTGAAAAATTATGAACCAAATAAATAAAATCATGAAGTATAAAAATGAGACATGCAGCTATGTCTTTCACTAAGTTAGACGCATAAGAATGTCATTACTTCCCCAAGGATGGTGTGTTTAGAACCTCTCTTTTCGGAAAGATCTGGTTGGCGGCAGAGCCTCGGTGCAAAAGTAAGGCAGCGCTCTGAGAAAGCCCCGAGACAGCAAAAGCACAGCAATCCTTCCGGTTATACGGGAGATTGTTTGTGTCCATTGGTTTGTTAAAAACTCTGGACACAGTGCAGGCTAGAATGATTAAAAAGAAACTAAAGGGGTTTTTACCCATGGAGGCCATCAGGTAAAATTATATCACAAGTAAAATGCCAGTTCCTCCGATTCTTTACAAACTATGTCTTACTGATTTACAGTTTTGGGTAAAAGAATCATTTCTGACTTTTCAACATTATTCTTCTTTACAATCCAAACAATAAAACATTTAGTCAACATGGTAACATCTCACAAAATTGTCATTTTATCAAAAAGGAAAGAAGAGAAACACAGGAATTTGCTCATTGGAAAAAAAGTTATGTAACTAATTTCATCAGATAAAGTAGATTTCATGGCATAGAAATCATACTGATAAAAAGTTATTACGAAAAAAGATGAGTCAAGACATTCCTAGACAATAAGAAATCCTGAAACCCTAACTTTTAAAATGATGGATAGCTGTAAATACCTTCCATCGCTCTTATACAAACAGGCTCACACATGCTGAAGATAAATTCAGAAAAATTCTACTTTGCATAACTGATTTTTTAACTTTCTCTATATAAAGGGGACTCCATGTTCATGAAATGAAAGCAAGACTCCTCCTCATTGAAGGTGAAGACTGCATTCCATTGACAAACAGACATCTTAAGACTGACTCCGTGACTTTATGCTCCAATGTTCCAAATGCTGAGAAATGTGTAAAAATTAGCATCAGAAGAGCTTTTCTTTCTCCTATAATAATTTTTCAGCAACTTAAAAATAAACATGTAAAATGCCAACAAAAAAATACTGTTTAAAAAATACCAGTGAGTAGCAAATATTTGGCGCTTAGGTATATAACTAAGCAACTGTCACGGAAATTAACTTGGATTCAGGCTACAGAAGGTGTCCCTGCCTTATCACCCAGTACACTAAGTACAGAAGGTGTCCCTACAGTCAGTACACTGTTGTTGAGATGGTATAATGACAAAAAAAATATTTTCAATCATAAAAGAATTTGACTAGAGAGAGGAATTTTTCATTTAATCCCCAAACCCCACATTCTTGTGTTTCTTGCACAGACACGTCTGCTTTGTATAAAATTACAAAATAATTTAAAAGTTCATAATTTAAAGTCAATGCAAAATAGAAACTTCTTACGTAATGTCTTAAATTCCAAATTTCAGACAAAAATTACAGCCCCCTGAAAAGCTACTTGGTTGCCTATAGAAAGTTTCACTCTGGCAGTGTGTTTTCTCTCCTCTGACAACTATATGTTGTGAGAAAACCAAAAGCAAAATCCCCAAAATATAAATATCGCCAAAGCTTTGTTTTAATAATCTAATTAAACTATTAAGAAAATAGTTTTAAAATGAAGCATAAACAAACCTAGACATAAAATAACCTCAATAAAACATGGAATTAGAATGACTCTGTCTCATGGTCCTAAAATTGTATCTAATTGATATGATACATGGTTTAACTGCACAGTAAAATCATATGTAATCTTAGACTAATTTTAAATTATTAAAGAAAAATTAATTGGTTATTATTATTGAAATTAAATTATATATGAGGACAGAATAACTCCTAAACAAATTTTATTTTTATTTCTTACCAGTACTCTAAATATTATATTGCAAAAAAATTGCTGCTCACTACAAATATTCTCAAATATTTCCATGGTTTTAAAAGTTTAAACTTAGATAAACTTCTAAGCCTGTGTTTATTAATTCTATTAATTCTATTTTAAAGAATTGGCAAATTCCAACATATAGTGATGTAAATAAGAACACTGGAAATCAAAATTAGATGTGTATGTAATTCTCAATTTATCTATTTAAAAACTGAACACAAAACTTTGACTGATAATTGATTTTCCACACTGGCAAGCACCATTTTCCATGATAATAGCAAGTCAAAACCAGTCTGGAGAAGTCATAAACCAGAGAGAACTGGAGAGCATTTTGAAACCTTGATGCATGTAATGTCTCAAATACAGAGAAGTAGCAAGATTCACTCATTCTCTCTCTCTCTCTCTCTCTCTCTCTCTCTCTCTCTCTCTCTCTCTCTCTCTCTCTCTCCTTTACACTGTGGACACTGGGAGCATTTACCTGACTGTCTTCATAGAGGAAGTTGCAGCTGGTTGGGTGAGTCTGGAGAGTTCCCTGCATTACTCTGAAATATAAAGCCTCTGACTCAGACACTCCCTTTTTCCTACTGTGATGACCACAATACTTTAAAAATAATTCCACTGAGTGAAATTGTGCTCAGGTCTTTCATAAAGCAAAGTGAAGAAAATCTGTAATTAACTATGACTTCAATTCAAAGTTGTCAGAATAGATATTTTTCACGAAACTGAATGAATCTGAAATTATTATAACAGTATTTTTAACATGTGTATATAGTATTTTTAACATGTTATTTAACAGTATTTTTAACATGTGTATATTTTACTTATGAACTTCAGTGTCTGATCTGTGACATTGCTGTCTTCTCTGCCTCCCTCCTCTTTCAGTTTTAGCAGATGACAAGAAATGCAGTGGAGTGCCTCCCCAAAGACTCATTTTCTAGCAACTTGGGAACTAGAGAATACTGCATTTGAGAAAGACAATAAGCTGACTCTT